TCTTATAGAGGGCTATCATTATTTTCATATAACTTTTTGGCGTCAAAATGCAAAGTTATATGGGATTTTACCGATTTTTTAAAAATTAATTCAGTTGCAAGTACACTTAGAATTTGGGCATGACTTTTTCATTGTTTGCCACATCCCTCAATTTAATGAAGGGGGATGAATTTTCCCCCTGGTTAGTTATGCCTTAACAATTACATTATTGTTTAATAATTCATTTATTAAGTGATAATAATATATTGATGATTATGTACCACACGGTATAATACAGTGAATCTAGAATATTTTACAAATCACAATTTAACCATTTACATTTTAAATACTATACTTTTCTTAAATATTAATAATACTGTATTAATACACAATGAAAACAATAATAGGCAGCTATGGCTGGATTTGAGTTTCAAACTTATTAAATTATATCCATTTTAATTAACTCTTTGTTATGAGAAGTAGTTTATAATAATTAATGTTTGTATTATTTAACTCATTCTAAAACATAACAAAACAAAGTAATTCAGTAATTTAATTAATATAAATAAAACAGTATTTACTGTACGAGTTGGACATGTTTGGACATAACATACAATTTTTTAATACAAAACATAATTTAATACATGTTTAAAAAGATGTTATTTCTAAATGTAATAATAAAACAATCAGTGCCTTAATGTAGTTGTAATTAAATGATTACAAAACATATTATAAACATTTATTTAGCATTAAATTAAAAATCGGTATAAAATGCATATCATTTATAACAAAATAACACATCAATCATCTCATTATAAATGATATTTACAATCAATTAATTAACACAAAAATACAATCGTTTGTATGAATTGATTCAACAATTGGTATAAACATAGATCTAATGACTGCCAAAACGGGGCCAAAGAGTGTCATCTCATCCGCCGTGAAGAGTGGATATGAAGAGTACCCTATCGTTGGGTTGGAGTCGATAGTTGTGTTGACCCAATAGTTCCCAATCGACTTCATTGATGAGCACCAAAATGCCGGGCCTAACGCTGTCGCCAACAACAAACAGTTCCGGCCTCTCCTTCAGATGATTATTCTTCAGGACTTCAATCAATTGCCTTAAATCGCATCCATTGTCACCACTTTTGGCCACTTTTACCTTCAGTTGTCGACAATTGCCAAACAGTAGTTCCGTTCCGCCGCTCAGTTCGACCATCACTTCCATACAGTCCTCTTCGGCGGACATTCTTCCGCAGTCTTTGTGTCTAAACGATTCAATCAATCAATTGATCCGCACTTTAATCAGCAATCAATTCACGCGTTGTTTGCAAAACATTGCCATAAATTACGGCCAAAATTAATGCACAAATATTTTTGTGCATAAAATGGGATTTTAAACACTAATTAAAATACTCATTAATTAATTATTTTTATGTTTTAATTTAATTACTGTTTAGTTGAGTCATTTGTAAATAGTTTTAATTTATTGTAGTTTTAATTAAGTGTAAGTTTTATTAGTTTTAATAATTATATTGAGAAACGTATTGTATATATAGTCAGTGTTGAGCCCAACAGATGGCAAACCTATATTCAAACGTAAGTTTAAATTGATTTTTGAAGTATTAAATTATGGCCCAAAAGATGTCATAACTATAGCTATAGTTATTCAAGAATTTACAGAATTTATTACTAATATATTTAGATATCACAATAATTGATACAATTATATCTAAACACTGTTTTTGATAGAATAATAGCAATTAAATTAACGCATTTGTAAATGATGTGAGTTTTGTATTTTGTCAGCTTTTATAACTTTTAAAATGATTGTATTTATTATTTGCTAAATTTAATTATAATTTAATTTCAAATATTCAAAAGTTTGGTTAATGCCATCGATTTCACGAATCAAAGTATTAGAATATTCAATAATACTTTATTAAAAGTATATGTTAAGTTTAGATATACTTTTACCATATAATTTGAATACCATATTCATTAAAATACATATGTCTCGGGAGTAAAATAATTTTACCATTATCAATACATTTATCGGCCATAAAAATGTTTTTAATAATTAGATTTAAAAATGTGACATGATCATTTTAAATGACAAATTGTGGGAACGGTATGCTATGGTCTCAATACAGGACTGTATTGAGTGAATGTGTTGTTGAATGCGTTCAATGGATGCGAGTGTCGGTCCACTCATTGCTCTCACTCTTCATTCAATTTGGTATTAATTTTCATTTACGGCAAAAGCGTTCATAAGTTATACATTTTTTGCTGCTT